AAGATACTTTGACATTGGAAAACCTTAGCAAATGAACTATACGATCTTGTGCTATGTTTAGGATTGGGTCTTGTCCATCACATCATTCTCCTAATGATGTGATCTCGTTATCAATGACATCCAGTGTCCATAGTCAGGAAACCATGACTATCTGTTGATCAACGAGCTAGTCAACTAGAGGCTCACTAGGGACATGTTGGTGTCTGTTATTCACACATGTATTACGATTTCCGGATAACACAATTATAGCATGAATAAAGACAATTATCATGAACAAGGAAATATAATAATAATGCTTTTATTATTGCCTCTAGGGCATATTTCCAACACTTTGACAGGCGGGGCCCAGCCCTTGTAAAAAAAGGGTTTTAAAATGATAATAGTGATATAAATATTAATTAATTTAATTAATTATATTAATCTTGTTTAATTAGGCTAATTAGCAGGTTTAACTAATTAAAACTGTTAATTAGACAGATTAGTCAATGACAGGGGGCCCCACCCCTTGTTGACCAGTCAAACGTTGACTGGTCAACTGGGACCCCCTGGACCCGCATGTCATCCCCTGGTACACTTCTGTGTACGTAGAGTTGGGTGCACCTAGCAATTAATCTTTATTTTCAAATTAATATTAATATTAGAATATTGTTTAAAACTTTGAAAATTCATATAAATTAAACCGTAACTCCGATGAAAATGTTTTCTATATTAAAGTTGCTAAGAAAAATCCAACGAATCCGAATACGCGGTCCGTTCATCTGTCACATGCCCCTAGAATGCTAAACATGGAACTTCCCCCCTCTTTTCCTTTGTCCGGAATCCACCTAACGCCGGGAATTCATCCTCGGATGTTTATCCCCTTCGTCTGCAACGTGTAGTACCGCGTTAGAGCACACCTAGCACTACATTTTGTCTTGTCATGCTTAGCGTTGTACCTGTCTGCTTGTATTTACTGTTTCTCCCCCCTATTCTCTCTAGTAGACCCCGAGACCGATGCTGCCCCTGGGATCGGCTACGTCGGCGACGACCCCTCCTTGCCAGAGCAACCAGGCAAGCCCCCCCTTTGATCATCCCGATATCACCCATTCCATTCTCTCATGCTTGCATTAGATTTTGCTACTGTTATTGTTTGCTCCTATTCTGATGCATAGCCTGCTTTTGTATCCGCTGTTGTACCTTACCTGCTTATCCTAAACTGCTTAGTATAGGTTGGTTAGTGATACATCAGTGATCCCCCACCTTGTCCATGTTGCCCCCTGCTTCATCACCAAAGACCAGGCCCTGACACCGCACATCATTTTCCCCTTAGTTGTTCAACACTACTGGGTTACTATCGAGTGCCGAGGGTGAGGCCTCTTCGGCACTTCTATTGTTAACCTGTAGTGTAGCTATTCGGTAGTGGTCATCAAGGGTGATTTCCTCCTTAACTACTTCCGATACGGCTCTGTCGTGCAACCCCTCAAGTGTGAACCTCGAGGGTGAATCCTCTTACGTCCACCTTGATGATTGCATCGAGTGGAATTCACCGAGGGTGATTCCTCTGGTTTTCCCCTTGGTGTTAGACACACAGTTACTATGGTTACTATGACCTTACAACTGAACCATGTTACTAAAGACGGGTAGGCCCTGAGGGGGTACCCGCGCGAGCTTAATAGCGAGTGATGTGGAGTCGGGTTGACCTGGAAGGTGCCCGCGAGATACTTACGAGGCGTGGCCGGGCATTCTTAGCCCTTGTCGCAAGTACTCGAGATGGGGCGACGGGGTCACATCGATCGTGAGTCTCTGCTCGTTACCGCGTGTTCCTAATCCACTACGATTTGGATATTTGATCCGAGGGGCCTCTGGCCTGATAGCACTAACCATATCATGTGGGCACAGTATGGGCGTTCTGCGTCGTATATACATCAGCCGAAGCTTAATAGACGTCAGCGACTGAGCGGCGCGCGCCAGGTTGGACTGGTAAGCACCTACCTTGTTGAAGGAGGTAGATAGGTCTGCTCACCAGCCGCGTACGCAACGTGCAAGAGTTCCCGGGGAGATGGCCCATGACCCCTGGGGGCATAGGTTTAGTCCGGCGTGCTGGCCTCTCTATTAAGCCTAGGTCGGGTTGCGGCGTATTGTTTGGCCGAGGCCGGGCATGACCCATGAAAGTGTGTCCGGCCGGAGTTAATCGAGTGTGGTGGGTAAGTTGGTGCACCCCTGCGGGGAAGAAAACATCTATCGATAGCCTGTCCTACGGTAACGGAAACTTGGAGTTGTATCCCGATCGATACAACTAGAACTGGATACTTGTGATGAGACTGGATGGTGATGAGAATTGGATAGTGATGATAACTAGATAGTATGGCTCTGGGATTGCTTTCTCGCAGGGAGTCGAGAAAGGATCTCTGGCCGAGGTTGATAACACTACTACTACTTTACTTTATGCTACTCTACTCCCTCCTGTTGCTGCAAGATGGTGGTTTCCAGAAGATGCCAGTCTTTGATAGGCTAGGCTTTCCCCTTCCCTTCTGGCATTCCGCAGTTTAGTCCACAGATACACCCCTTTCCTTTGATACAGATGCATACTTAGTTTAGATCTGATGTAAGTCTTGCGAGTACTTTGGATGAGTACTCACGGTTGCTTTGCTACTTCTTTTTCCCCCATACTCGATTGTTGCGACCAGATGACGGATCCCAGGAGCCAGACGACGCCACTGATGACTACTAGTACCCGGAGGATGCCTACTACTACGTGAAAACCGCAGACGACTAGGAGTAGTTAAGAGGCTCCCAGGCAGGAGGCCTTGCCTTTTCGATCGTTGTTGCTTTTGTGCTAGCCTTCTTAAGGCAAACTTGTCTAACTTATGTATGTACTTAGATATTGTTGCTTCCGCTGACTCTTGTGTTTTTAAGCTTATGTATTCGAGCCCTCGAGGCCCCTGGCTTGTAATATAAAGTTTGTATTATTTTAATTTGTGTCTAGAGTTGTGTTGTGATATCTTCCCGTGAGTCCTTGATCTTGATCGTACACATTTGCGTGTATGATTAGTGTACGATTGAATCGAGGGTGTTACACTCTCGCGAAAGAAAAAAAAACAGAAAACGCGTATTTTTTCCCTTTCCGAGAGGCACGGTCGTGACTTTCGCGTAAGCACAACCGTGCCTCTCGCAGAAGCAAAACCGTAACTCTCACGAACGAAAAAAAAACAGAAAACGCGTTTTGTTTTTCCTTTTCTGAGAGGCACGGCCGTGACTCTCGCGAAAGCACAACCGTGCCTCCCGGGAAAGCAAAACTGTGACTCTCACGAAAGAAAAAAAAATAGAAAACATGTTTTTTTGTTTCCGAGAGGCACGACTGTGACTCTCGCTAAAGCATAACCGTGCCTCTCGCGAAAGAAAAACCGTGACTTTCACGAAAAAAAAGCATTTTTTCACGATTTTTTTTCAATTTTTTTGATCGAAAAGCTAAGAAAGACCAGGGAAAACCAAAATGTCAAAAAAAATCGAAAAAAACCCGTTTAAAAAGCCGAAAACGCGTGCAGAAAAATAAAAAAAAATAAAATCCGAAAAAAACGTCCAGAACGCGACACGTGGCAAATGACTGAGAGCACGCCAAGTGGCGCTGATCATTGCCAGGCTCCCTAAGGAGCGCTCGTTAACTTTTTTTTTTGAGCAAAAAAGCTAAGCTTTATTCATGAGTTGGTATTGCTACCGGTATTACAGAAATGTCATGTGGTAGCCCCAGCCAAATATGTCGGCCATGAACCAACTTTACAGCATGCCTAGCTAACTTGTGAGGCTCAAAATTTGAGAAGCGCTCGTTAACTAGTTGCTCCCTCATTCAGCCCTTCCCGTATGTCGAAAGCTTTCTGCGTGTACGTTCAGCCTTTCCCTTTGTACGTTCAGCCTTTCCCTTTGGGCCAACTAACACAGCCCATCAATCCTCGACAAAAAAACTAACACAACCCATCGCCTTGTTCCCGTCTCACCCCTCTCACGATACGGATTGGAAAATAACAGGGGACACGATCTCTCTTGCTCTCCCACCATCAAAACCGGACGCACCTCACCTCTCGCACGATTAAAAACAAAAACGGCGCACGAATTTCGCTAACGGGGCAGGAGCGGTTTCGAGGCAGCGGGGATGGGGAGGGGTGCCCCTGTGACGGATTAGAGATGTCGGCGCCGAACCGTGGTCGTCGTCGCGGAGCTCACCGTGCCATGGGCATGGCCGATCGTTTGTTGTGCGGACTGCTGCATGACCACCAGACTCCAGCCGACGATCATGTAATCATGTTGCTGTGATAGATTAGAGACGTCGGCGCGGAGCTGTCGACGTCGTCGCAGAGCTCATCGGAACATGGCCGGTCGTTCTTGGCGCGGACTGCTCCATGACCTCCAGGCTGCAGCCGGCGATCAAGTAATCATGTGGCCTTCGCGTTCTCTCCATGATTAGCCGCAGCCTGTGCCACGTGGACTTGCTCTCGCTCCTCATCCATAGACAGATGCACGTCAAGAAGAACTACAAGAAGACGCCCGTCAAGGATCGTTGTATAGCATCAACATTACTACCAATATACTTTGTCAGAGCACCTTCTCCACCTAGAAGACCAACTCCAACTATGCTCCATGGCTTTGATAATGTTTGGTGAAACATCGAGGAGGCACATGCGAGGAATCGACGGTTGTCCGATTGAGCCGCGGGTTAATGGCTACGGTCGCTACCGGTGCCAGATGGCCATAGCTACGCAGCCCAGAAAGAACACAAAGTTCCTTTGTAGCTCAGGCTACATGGAACTTCTTATCCTCTTTTCTAGCATCCAGTTGGCAGTCTAGCATTGGAATCATAAACTGCAACACTTAGAAGCTATGTTGCTCAACGAGATTGTTATCCCAGATCAAGTTTCTTTCAGTTTTCAACTTTCCAAGTTCCTAGAATTTTTGCTCTGAATTAGGTACGGATGATATGACAAGGTGCCTTGGTTGATTGACGAGGAGTTTGTCACTGTCTCACTGCAATGGTGCACATGAACAAAAGGGACAGGGAAGAGCACATCTGTACTGCATTCCAATACTTCGACCAGGATAGCAGTGGGTAAGTTGAGCACCAGCGATGATAATTAATACTATATCTCAGGTACATGTGTTCTTGATTTTTGGAGCACCCATGCTTATATCATATCCCACTTACAGGTACATTACAGAAGAAGAGATGGAGCAAGCCTTACAGGAGCTGAAGTTGTACGGTCCGAGAAATACAAGCATGGCATCGCTAAAGCTGATTTTTACGATGTAAGAAAGAAAAACAATGTAAATACAGTGCATACATGACTACGATGCCATGTGAGTGACACAACAGTGTCATTTTAAATAGAAAAATACATACATAACAATATATGGTAAATACATCGAAAGAAACTGAAAGTATTTTCTTCACGCAGCTGCGTCAGCGTTGCTCCCACAAGATGGGAGGCTTCAGAGAGACCGTGATGATCCTTCTGTTTTTTCTTTCCCGGTCCCAGATCTACTGTTGAAAATATGAGCAATTTACCGAATGATTTTATTAACAGAAATACTAGATAAAACATGACTAATATAGTAGAGATAAAACAAGTCATGCGTACGTTCGGACGAAGAGAAGGTAAAGAGCATCTGCATATATGAACTTGAACCAAACACATCTAGAACAGACACTAGATGAAGTTGCATATATGAAGTAGAACCTAACACATGTAGGACGGAAAGTAGAGCAAAGAACTGTGTCATGACATCTAACAGAAAGAGCAAGAACACGTACGGGACATCAGCAGTGGAAGTGCTGGACTTGGGGTCGGTGTCCTCGCTTGCCATGTCGTCGAGGAGATCGTGGACGTCAGGGAAGTAGTCGTCGACGACCGAATTGTCCGTGATGAAGCAGCCAGTAGTCGCGCTGAGCGCTCCCCAAAAACCTTATCACCATTCTCCCGTACAGGACTCAAAATGCGCGGTTTCGGAGGCCTACTGTCCCGACCTGCGGTGCAAGCCGGGATGGGGAAGATCATAGCAGCAGCACAGTGCTCAGGAACTTGTGGCCTTTCGTATATCGGCTCGGCTCGGCTCGGCTCGGCTCGCCGCGCCGCGCCGCGCCGCGGCGGGCGGAGGAGGAGGAGCGCGCGTGGATATCCCTCTTGTTCTCATGCTCATACAAGTGGGGAAAGAACCTCTCTTATAAGGAGGTCCAACTCCCACTCAACTAGCAATGTGGGACTAAACTTTAGTAGTATCCCTTGCCTTGCACAAATGGACTAAGTGGGCCTTTAGAATTTATTAGAAATTTCTGAAACTGCTATTGGGCTAGGCCCAAAATAGACAAAATTCCAGCATCTACCTCATCTCATAATTGGTCAATTGTTGATCCCTAGATTTTTCTGATTTTTGTATGAGGCAACATTTGTCTTGCATGAATTTGTATTTTGATTCAGTAGAACCGTTATAAATTGAATTTTGGGGAATTCTGCATTCCGTCAGTACCTCCATATAGTCGATGTTTAAACTGTTTTGCAAAGCGTTGCATGGTTATTTGCATGAAAAGTCATGCATAGGCCATAGCTGATGCTACCGCCTTTTGTATTGTTTTCAGGTGGGGGTCATTCATTAAGTTTCGGTGTAAGCAAGGTGTGATGAGGTTTTCCTGCAAAGTTTACAAGGTGCGTTTTCATATGTTTGTTGCTGTCCAATATCTGTTGTGTATTCCATGCAACTATGGATGTGGTTTGATGGCCATAGGGGAAATAATTTGTATGGTTGGGCCGTGATTTTAGTTGAAAAAATAATTATGATGATTGAAAATTGATTAGTTACTACCTCAGAGTCGCTAAAATGTGGTCTTGGGCTACATAAAGTTTGAGGCAAATTAAGCTGAGGGGAACCGAAACCACGACCAAGGTTTAACATGCCACCATTGTCACTATAGACCTGTCAAAAGCACGAGAAAGGTTCGCTAGAGCTGAAGAATATGACAAATTGACAATGTATGATAGCTAAGCATATGTGATATTTTTCTCTCCCGTTGCAACGCACGGGCATGTTTGCTAGTAATGATCCTATTAACATACCAAATCTGAAAATTTGGGATGTTACAATCATAAGTCAAATTAGTAGAAGCATGACTCAAAATATGCAAATCCAAGTGTATCAGCGGTAGAATGTAGGGCATAAAAAATAACACTACGATTCCATGATGTTGCTACCTAGAGCAATGGATCACACATAGTTTGCGTAAAATTATCTCATCAAGGAGACATCCGCCATAAATACTTGTCGATTGATGTTCTTCCAATTCATAATACGAATGCATGCCTCATAAACACCTGTAGGTCATTATCAAGATCAGGCCACTATACCATTTAAGCATCCTTCATGGACAAGTGGAAGTCAAAACTACAAACAATTCAGAAAATCAAGACGCAGTTTAAGGAAGAAGGGAGAGATGAGGTCTAGTGTTTATTCAGAGTGTAATCATTGACATGTCGCTATCTATCCATCTAAACTGATCTACCCTACAAGGCTGCTTTAAAACTGAAGCAAGAAGTAATTAAGATGAAAATGCATTAGAACCATTTTGACCCAATTGATGCATCAAGTAGCGTTCAGACTTCAGAGAACGCAGAAAATGAATATATAAGCATCTAAAAGTTAATGTACCATTTGTATTGGTACTTCAAATTGGACTAAAAAGCGAAATGTTCGACGACATAATGTTAGATAATAACGAGATAAAATGAGACACGAGAGCACACGGATTTTTACGTGGAAACCCTTACGGGAGAAAACCATGGACGCACGAAGGCGCAATCACTATGAGGAGGAGTATTACAAGCACGAGACGACAGGTCGTCTGAGGTGCAACTACATGGGGTATATATGAGGACAATACATGAGAGTCCTTGGAGGACAAGTAAACGAGTTGTACTCGTATGCGTCGGTACCAACACAAAGGCCCACACCGTATGTACTACATCTAGTCCAATACGGTAGAATTTGGATCACAATTTAACAATCTCCACCTTGAGCCAAATTCCCTCCAGTAGTCGAAGAAAGTAGATAACTCCATCCAAATCAGCATAAACACATTGTGCGTCAAAATCCATAGGACTAGTGAGAAATACCAACTAAGCCTGAGCAAAGCTCAAACTTATTGGTCGGAACTGGCTTTGTCATCATGTCAGCAGGATTACCATGAGTACTTATCTTGCATACCTTCAAATTGCCTTCAACAACAACATCTCGAATATAATGAAATCTGACGTCAAAGTGCTTTGTTCTCTCGTGATACATTGGATTGTTTGTAAGATATATGGCACTTTGACTGTCAGAAAATATGGTAGGGCAAGATGAATCTCCACAAAGCTCAGTGTATAAACCTCTCAACCAGATAGCTTCTTTGCAAGCCTCACAAATAGCCATATACTCGACATCAGTAGTGGAACAAGCCACAATAGACTGCAAAGTTGCTCTCCAACTCACAGCACAACCACCAATGGTGAAAACATAAGCTGTGAGTGTTCTTCTCTTATCCTAATCACCAGTAAAATCAGAATCAACAAAACCAACAAGTCCATCACTGATTTTTCCAAACTATAAATAAGCATTATAAGTACCTCGCATGTATATGAAAATCCACTGAACTGCTTTCCAATGCTCTTTTCCAGGATTAGCCATGTATCTACTGACAACACTCTGCATATGATAAATCCGGACGAGAACAAACCATGGCATACATTAGTGAACCAACTGCACTCGAATAGGGAACTCTAGACATGTACTCAATATCTGCATCTGACTTAGGACGTAAAGCTGATGATAATTTGAAGTGTGCAGCTAACGGAGTACTTACTGGCTTGGCATTATGCATATTAAAACGACGAAGAACTTTATCAATATATCCTCTCTGACTTAGATATACTTTTCCAGACGGTCTATCTCTGGATATTTCCATGCCAAGTATTTTCTTTGTTGCATCCAAATCCTTCATCTCAATTTCATTACTCAATTGCTTCTTTAGTTCATTAATCTCTGACATACTCTTTGCAGCAATTAGCATATCATCAACATAGAGGAGCAAATAAATAGTTGAACCTTTGACATTTTTCAAATAAACACAACTATCATAAGTAGACCTTTTGAAACCTTGAGAGAGCATAAATGTGTCAAATCTCTTGTACCACTATCTAGGGGATTGCTTCAATCCATAAAGAGATTTCTTTAACTTACAGACAAGCTTTTCTTTTCCAGGAATAAAAAAACCTTCAGGTTGTTCCATATAAATATCCTATTCTAATTCTCCATGTAAAAATGCAGTTTTAACATCCAATTGTTCAAGCTCAAGATCATGCATGGCAACAATACTGAGTAAAGTGCGAATAGAGCTATGCTTCACAATAGGAGAAAAGACTTTGTTATAGTCAATACCTGGAATCTGACTGTAACCTTTAGCAACTAACCTTGCTTCATATCTTGTCTCATCATTAGGAGAAACACCTTCTTTCCTTTTGAAAACCCACTTGCATCGAATAGGTTTCTTCTCTCTAGGTAATTTTACTAAATCCCAAGTGCCATTCTTTTCAAGTGATTCCATCTCATCATGCATAGCGGTCATCCACTTATTACTATCACTAGAAATAATGGCCTTAGAATATGAAGAAGGCTCAGAATTATCTTCAATTTCTTCTGCAACAGATAAAGCAAAAGAAAAAATATTGCACTCTTGAATTAACCTGTGAGGTTTATTAATACCCCGCCTAACTCTGTCACGTGTAAGATTCCAACTGGGCGGAACAATAGGCTGATTTGGAGTGGGAATGACATGATCATCATTAACGACAGGTTCATCATGTGCATCAACAATTTCATTACCAGATGTTTCACCTGAATCAATAACATGCTCCACCTGAACAGTAGGCTCCTGAACAATAGGCTATTGTTCACTCTCAACGGGAACATTAGTAGATGAAACATCATATAACATAGCAGATTCATTAAAAATAACATTTCTACTAATAAGAACCTTCTGGGTTTCAGGATTCCACAATTTAAAACCTTTAACACCAGATTTATAACCAAGAAAGATGCACTTAACAACCCTAGGCTTCAACTTTCCATTATCAACATGAGCATAAGCAGTGCAACCAAAAACTCTCAACAGTGAATAATCAGCAGGTGAACAAGACCATACCTCAATTGGAGTTTTCTTATTAAGAGCAATAGATGGTGAACGGTTAATGAGATAACAAGCAGTGGAGGCAGCCTCAGCCCAAAAATGCCTATGCAAACCTGCATTGGACAACATGCAACGGGCTCTGAAAATAATGGTCTTGTTCATACGCTCAACAACACTGTTTTGTTGAGGACTATAAGGAACGGTGCAGTGTGTGACAATGCCTTTAGACTTGCAATAATTCTTAAATTGCTTAGAACAGAATTCCATACCATTATCAGTGCAAATTATTTTTACCTTCCTTTCAGTTTGTCTTTCAATCATAATCTTCCACTCCTTAAATGCCGAGAATGCTTCATATTTATGCTTCAAGAAATAAGGCCAAACTTTTCTCAAGTAATCATCAATAATAGTCAGCAAGTAACTTGCACCACCTAGTGACTTCTTGCGAGATGGTCCCCATAAATCAGAATGCACATAATTAAGAATACCTTCGGTTGTATGAGTTGAAGTGTTGAACTTCACCCTCTTGTGTTTGCCGAAGATACACTGCTCACAAAATTTCAATTTACCAGGTTCATATCCATCAAGAAGACCTCTCTTATTTAACTCTGCCAAACCAAGTTCACTCATATGTTCAAGACGCATATGCCAAAGGTTAGCAGCATCACAATCAGAATTCTTTGAAATAACTGGAGTAGCATTACCTGAAACGGTAGAACCTCGATGGTAATAAAGACCATTGGTCGAACTTAAGTCACCTTTCATCACAACAAGGGAGCCTTTGGTGACCTTCAAAACACTATCTCCACCTGAATACTTGTACCCCTTTGCATCAAGGGCACTAACAGAGATAAGATTTCTCTTCATCTTTGGAATATACCGAACATCTGTCAAAGTTCTGATTGTGCCATCAAACATCTTGATTCGAACGGAACATATGCCTTCAATCTTGCATGGTGAATTATCAAAACCCAAAAGGGAACCATCAACAGTAGTGGAATCAAAAGTATTAAACCAATCTCTATGTGGACACATATGAAAAGTGCATGTGGTGTCAAGTACCCACTTATCATTGGTCTCAGCACATCCAGCAATAACGACAAGAGCATCATCAGAACTATCATCACGAGCAACGTTAGCAGAATTTTCACCTTGTTTGTTAACTTTCCTCTTTTCTTTATTCTGCAACTTGAAACACTCTAAGATGTCATGCCCGTCTCTCTTGCAATATCTGCAATATTTCTTGTCTCTGGATTGCGACCGTCCCCTGTAGCCGTTCTTACTTTTGCCTCTATTTCCATTATTGGAGTTCTTCTCCTTTGTCCTACCACGAACAAATAATCCCTCGGTTTGGGATCAACTCGAACCATCATGAGACACCATTAATTTCATCTTCTCCTTAGAGTTCCAAGCTTCATAAACTTCACTAAGTGTGAGAGTATCACGATTGTATAATATGGTGTCTGTAAAATTGGTATAAGAACTTGGCAGTGAACAAAGTAACATTAAAACAGTATCTTCCTCCTCATACTTAACCTCCATTGCAGCTAGATCAGATATGATCTCTTTAAATTTT